TATCTTTTTGACCTAAGCTTGGCTCTAGTTGGTACAAGTCAACAAAGTGTACCTATACTCTTGAGACAATTGATACTTCAAAGTTAAATTATTAATAATCATTTTCTGGTGTTCTTGATTTCTTTCTGTTCAAACTTATAGGGGATTATAGTTGAAAGACTAAGTATCAGTTGTTCACTTTATCTAGCTCATATAGATCCCGTTTGTACCCGAAGAATCTCATCATCAATATGTGAGACATCATGAATCATAACAATTATAAATGGTACTCCTCATTTTTAAGAGGGAATTGAATGAAACAACATATTAATGAATAAAGAATAATTATTATTTCTACCCAAGTTAACATCATTTTCATGAGTCATAATTTTACCAGACAAAGACAACTGACCTGTGTCAGTGAAATAAAATTAGTTATTTAAAGAAGAAATACAATTCTGTATTTGTTTTTAAAAATAAGGATTGAAAGCGATGAAAAAGAGGTGTGATACTTTGACAACAAGTTACTCGTTAGGAGTCTGTTCAAACGATGTACCAGCATAAATCAATCATCATTTATTCACTTACTTTATATAATTCGCTTAAGCTTAGATCAAACTTACCGTACAAGTTTATTAAATTGATTATGATTAACAACGATCTTAAGTGGTTTGTGATAGTCAACAGAAGACTCTGCACCTCGATTTTTTACAAGAATTACCTGGAATCTTATGGGAAGTAAAGTTTCCTGTAGAATTCAAACCTGTTTCAACTAACTTCACAAACTTATCCTGTTATGTTTTTCAGTCTCTTAATCAAATTACTAAATCAGGAAAATGTACTAATACGACTACACTTCATCTCTATCAGACCATATATCTTCTATTTCAACCAATGACACTCTTTGGTAAGTAACAAATAGCCTTGAAGGATCGGTCACGACAACTTTTAATCCTAATGGACCAGAAGTGCAGCTTTCTTCTAGCACAGTAGCCGGTCAGAATAAGAACACAACAAGCAAACAAAACACTTATAGGTTTATATAAACTAATTAACAGACCACTACATAATACAAATAAAAAAAATTATAGATTGCACACAACGAAGTCAGTGTTAGAATTGAGCCATAGGTGAATCAGAGATAATTCGGAAATGGTGAAACGCATATCGACAGCTAAGACATCAAAAGAAGGCTTATAAATAGGATAACATAGAAATACCATAAACTAATTACTTCATAAGTATGTGATAAAAATAGAGATAATACATCATCCTATAATAATGGTAAACGTTTCGAATTTATTAATATCCACTTCGTTTTAAGGATATTTATTTTAGAAACTTCATACACATAGTTCTCCTTATTATCTTGAAGAGAGCAAGTACCTGTATTTCATTAGTTTATTTCCAATGAGTTACACGCAAGTATTGATCAAAACACTGTTTTCTAGAGTAAAAAATATGTACCGTTGACAAACTGGAAGGTGAATCTATGAACGTTGAAAATTGTCTACGAGATAAATGTTACCCATACGAACTCACTGATAAATGTAAAAGAAAACTGACGACAAGTCGGATGTAGTTACAGTCAATAAAAGCCAAGGTTTATCCATTTCAACTCCAAAGGTGGCGGTGTTGTAGGGACGATGATTAAAAGGCTTAATGTTGTATTAGCCAGAACTTATTCTGAAGCCAAGTTAATAATCTTGTCTGGAACAACATGTTCAATAATTAGTCGAAAGCTATCAAGTATCCTTTTGATGTTACCGTTAACCGAATCTATAGATTCACATGTACCTGCCAAAGCAGCTAGACTGTCTGAATGGAGAGGATAGAATATCTTATTTTGTTTTTAACATGTTCTGAAAGGTCTTCGAACAAAGGGAAGAAATATTTTAAATAACGTGATTACTAGACATTTCTTAGACACAGGACATCAAGTTGATGCCTTGAAATCTTTGAAGGTGATTAATAAACAACCAAACTCCAATCTTTTGAAATTTGTGAAAGTCATCTTTATGAGGTATCAAAAACCGGATGTTCGTGTTTGTGCTTTGATAACATAAGCGTCTTTTCAATACATCATGAAATTTCGTTCAACGCTTTCTTTCAATCAATTACATCATTACGTCATTTTTATTTCAACTATGTTCTAAATGAATAATCTTATTTTAAATAGCTGAGCTTCAATCATTTTATTCCTACTTATCAGAGTTTATTCATTATGTAACCACTAGTTTCTATCCCTTTAAACTTTTATTACTATCATCAGAATGGGTTTTTTGGAGATTTTTGGAAATTTCACTGATTGAAATCATGAGTCAATTAAAGCTAGACCACCATGAAAAGCCTGGAAGCACTGGACGGCTGTTTCGTCCTAGTATGGAACTCCTCAGCAGCGTGCATCCACGATCCCGCCCTCACCCCGCGTTATTCGAACTTAGGACCTATCAGTCTCGCGCCAAGCGCTTAACCAACTAGACCATTGAGCTGGCCGGCATCTAATAGTGTTAATGTTTAACTTCAACCAATCCACGAAGTTGCGCCACCGTACATCATTGTCTTCAGTGAGTTCCCAACTCATAACTGCTGAGGAGTCCCATACTAGGACGAAACGGCCGTCCAGTGCTTCCAGGTTTTCCATGGTGGTCTAGCTTCAAGTGACTCATGATTTCAACCAGTGAAATTTTGTTACTATCGTTGTTGTAGAATGTTCTTTCACATAAGATATTTGTTTATTTTGTCTATTAAATTTATTTACGCCCTTTCTATGCCATAATGATATGTGATCATATCAACTTTCATTCAAACACCTTTATGTAATTAATTCCAAACTATTTTATAACTATATTTGTTTAATATTACCGATTGTAAGTAGCTGAGAAGAACCAAACGAAATCAGTGGAATTCATGTTATACTACTCCAATTATTGTACTTACTCTTTTCAAGTTTCTATCTGATTCGCTCAATGTATATCGTTAATTTGTAGACTGTTTCTATCAATATTGGAAAATTTCTATTTAACTTTATAATAATAGATATTGATGTTAATGTATTCCAAATTGTAAAACATGTTAGTTTCGTATATTTAACATTAGAGTTGATTATTTTTTTCTTTATATGGAGAATATAACTGACTGATTAGCTTTCCTCTTTATTGCCGAAGTCATATAAGATTGGGTTATTTTCGATGTGAATTTACTGATTACTTTATCGATTTATTGATTATCAATGAATTCATCACTATGTTTAGTTTTGTTTTATTTCAACTAAACAATTATTGATAGAGATATATTTTTTCCATATTATTATTCTCTGTGCTAACTCGGATAACAAAATCGCTTCATTTTGTCTTAAATAACTTCCCTTCTGATATTAATTAACATATTCTCACTAGTGACGGTCTCCAAGAGGTATTTCCTACAGTTCTAGTGAGAAGCAATGACCAGTGGAGTTCAACAGAGTCTGTTGTGAGACAGTAACTCACTGATGACAATGGTAGATGTGTCACTCGAATTCGTAGATTAGTTGAAGTTAGACAATAACACCGTCGGATGCTGACCGGCCCAGTGGTTTAGCGGTTAGACGTTTGCTCGCGAGATTGATAGATCCTGTGTTGGAATCCCGTGAGGTGGTATCGTGGATGAGCACTGCTGAGGAGCTCCACAATAGAACGAGACGACCTTCCAGTGCTTCCAGGTTTTCCACGGTAGTCTAGTTTCAAATAATTCATGATCTCAACTATTAAAATTAACTAATTTTATGGAGTTTTATTTATATCTTGTCAATGCATGTACACCCACATTCGTAAATATGATATTTATTATCAGAATGGGGGTCTGTGGATTTTGTAGCAATTTTAGAAGTTGAATTCATGAACCGATCTAAGCTAGATCACCATTGAAAACCTGAAGGTACTGGACGGTCGTTTTGTTCTAGCATGGGACTCCTTAGTGGTGCTCGTCTACGATCTCGCATGTGGAACTCAAACCCAGGACCTTCGGTCTCGTACGCGAACGCCTAACCTCTAGACTACTGTGACGGCATGTATTTAGTGTGAGGAAGAAATGTTAGTGTTTTTATAGTATATATAGTCTCCCCCATTTTGTTGACTACTTAAACAAATTATATTGGTTATACAGTAAAACAGCGAAATGCTTTTAACAGTTTGAATGAAAGAGAGTTTTACTCTGTGTCTATGTTATAGTTCGAAGAAGTCAATAACAATCAAAGACAATCGAATGTTTTTTTCATTTTGATGTTTTTCAAAAATGATTGGTGACGATCGTGTTAAAGACTGAAACCAAGAGTATTAGATCTCCCAACCACTTTTCTCTTCTTCAGATCATTATATTAGATTTGAATAGTTTATATAGTTAGACTTCGTCAGGAACACTAATTGAATGAAATTGATTATAGACTTGGTTAAACCTTATTTCAGCTATTTAAATAGTCATATTTTGAAATGTATACTTTGAAAGAAGCTTATATTATTGCTCTACCCTCATTAAATGACACTGTTATCAATTGATTTTGAGTATGATTTTACAGTTTTGTGAAAATCATTGTCAAAAGAATTATAAATTATTTCAACGTTTTCAACCTAATATTACTGTTTTATGTTCATTTCTGGTCTAAATCATCATACATTTTTATGATCAAAGGAAGTGATTGTACACGACGGACTGACATGAGTTAGAAAACTATTGAAAACTAGGAACCAGTGAACAGGTGTTTCATTCTAACATGGAACTCCTCAGAAATTCGCGTCCATGACTTCACCATAGATCGACTTCCGTACCTTTAGACTTCACAGCAAACGCTTGTCCTTCAGACCAATGAATAGTATCCAACTAGTCAACTATATGTTTGACTGAAACTTATTCTTGATATTGCATAACCATCAATCATTATCATTGGTAATATCACTTTATGAAAACATTTTAATACTACTCTATTTGTTTTCAGTAATCTATACCACATATCTAGAAATGAAGTTTTTTTCTTTTGTTCTAAAAAGGTCTCTTAATCCTATTATGTTGCATCCTGTTTCCTATTGGATGGTCTGACAATGATGAAATTATTCAAATATGTGGTGAAAGGCGTTCACGATTCGATTTAGGTAAGTATTCTTTGATTTTTGTCCATTTTACTATTAAATGAATGCATCAAAGTAGGAATAGTGATAATCAGAATAATGTTTCAACATTGAAGATTCATCTGAGCTGATGTACCATTAAAAATAAGGGATTATTGGTGAACTAATTTTCCATAGTTCGCAACTCCTTATCAGTGTGCACCAACGGCTTGACCAAACATCAAACTAAAGACCTTCATAAGAACCACAATTTTCTTCGATTCCTAGTCAGCTGAACATGATGCTAGAAAAACCATCCTATAAAAGACCAGAAAAATTTTATTTCTGAAGAAAAGAGGACAAAATAAATACACATCACATAACATTAAAAAGTCTTTTTCTTTCTGTGTGAAGTCAAAAGTCTCGTGTTCTGCATAATACTATCCGTCTATGGAACCGGCATCCACTTAACCATATTTCACATTTTCAGTTAAACTCAAACGAAATATTTATCCAGTGCTCTGTGTTATTCAATCGCTATCCAGCTAGTGTCAGGGGGTGTTCCCAAAATTTTTTGATTGTTTAAATACATTTATAAAAATTAACTAATGGTTGAATATTTGGTGGTTACCGATAGTTACATCCTTTCGATATCTACCTTCTAACTGGATAGATTTTAGTTATTTTTAGATATACCAGTGAAATTCGATAACTATCAATCCAACTCGACTGTAAATTGATTCATTCATTTTTCTGCATTTTACTTGTCAAACGTCTCTTTTAGGTCATTGTCAACTTGGATGGGCCTATGTGGTAACAATAATGAGCGGTTTATTATCAATCTTTAGTTCTGTCTTTCCAAATCTATGCTTTCCAAAGATACTATTTGAAATTAAACAAAATAACAAATCTCAGCGTATTAAATCTAATGAAAAACAAACAGATGATGGATTAATACCACATTTTTTATCACATGACTTGTCAATGACGCCAACAATTTTAGCGCCAGCCACACCAGGTGGACCACCATCAATTGAAACTGTATCAACTAGTTTACGTACGTCTGATCCACGTATTCATCATGTTGGTTTCGAATCACCATGGTTAAAAACTTGGGCTTGCTTAAATACACCCACTCAACATCAGTCACATGGGCCAGTGGTACTAATACACCCGGATTATAATTTATCTCCATATTCAGGTGGTTGTTATAATGGAGATAATCAATTAGGATATAGTCAAGGAAGTTTAGATGACACTTCATCAGTCGGGACAGAGAAGAAATCTGCTATTGTTAATTCACTGAAACCAGATGTCGCCAAAAATTTAACGCAAAACATGGAAAACAATAAAAGTAACAATTAGATGGGTGATATGGAACAAGTTCACAATATCTTACATGATCTTTCACATTATGTATTAATTCATCATACATGAACTATTTGCACAGTTCTTACCTAAGTCAAAGAAAATGTTTCACATACACTGACTTTATCTTTTACATATATATATAATCAATTGACGAAATGTATAATTAAATGTATCTCTCAAGAATTCTTCATTGAGCATTCGGCTTTCTTTTAAAATACATGTATGAAGTGGACTACTTATATGCCATATAAGTAGTTAAACAAAATGTAAAGTTAAAATTCTATGGACATTCACGTATAGTAAGTACAATAGAATAGAAACGTGGGCACATTATTAGAGTTATTCAGTATGTCGTAATGAAAGGAAGGAGTAGATGGTTATAAAATCTTATGATTGACCATTGATAATTTTAAATGTTGGAAACTGTATGAGTTTATAAGGGGACAATCACTTTTGCTTACAAGTATACTTAATGTATCAGTCAAATAACTTTCCTAAATGCGTAGTTCAATAACCTTCAATAAAGTTAGTGAAAACTATATATATCGAGTCAAACACTAAACTTTGTTTATGTCATTCCTGACCTCTTGTTTTTTGTTTATTTATTAAAGTATAACCTAATAGAGAAGTCATTTCACGGAATGGTTCATTTAATTTTTTTCTGAGAGTAAAAGTTTAGAATAGAAGATTTGCAAAACATTCACTAAGTTATTTTATTATGTGCTTGATTTCAACTGAATAAAACGAACTATCCTGAACTTCTTTGAATTTAGTACGTCCGAGTAGTTTGTAATAGTGTCTGCATAAATCTATTTCAAGTCAACAATTAACTGCCTGTAATTACAAGCCATCCAGCCGAACAAGAGCAGAAAAAGCCAAGGCAAAAGCTGAATACACAGAAGTAAACAAACAAGTGAAGAGGAGTATCAGAACCGACAAAAGTAAATATGTGGAAGATTTAGCAATGACGGCGGAAAAGGCTGCAAAAGAAGGAAACATGAGACAACTGTATGACATAACAAAGAAACTCTGGAAATCGCCGCAAACCTGAACGACCAGTGAAAAGCAAGGAAGGCGAGGTAATCACCAACATTGAAGAAAAGCGAAACAGGTGGGTAGAACACTTCAAAGAACTTTTGAATCAACCAGCTCCACTGAACCCACTAAACATCGAAGCAGCACCCACGGACCTCCCAATCAGTGTTGGCCCACCAACAATTGAAGAAATCAGCATGGCCATCAGACAAATCAAGAGTGGCAAGGCAGCAGGACCAGACAACATTCCAGTAGAGGCACTAAAAGCAGACGTGGCGGCAACTGCAAGGATACTCCACATTCTCTTCAATAATATTTGGGATGAGTAACAAGTACCAAAAGACTGGAAAGGACTCCTGATCAAAATACCGAAGAAAGGCGATCTCAGCAAGTGTGATAACTACAGGAGCATCACTCTTCTCACAATACCGGGAAAAGTCTTCAACAGGGTTTTGTTAAATAGGATGAAGGACTACGTAGACGCCCAACTTCGTGACCAACATGCAGGATTCCTTAAGGATAGATCGTGTACAGACCAAATCGCAACTCTACGGATCATTGTGGAACAATCAATTGAATGGAATTCACCACTGTACATCAACTTCATTGACTACGAAAAAGCATTTCACATCGTGGACAGGACAACACTATAGAAGCTTCTTCAACACTACGGCGTGCTTCAGAAGATAGTCAATATCATACAGAATTCATATGATGGATTACACTGCAAAATCGTGCATGGAGGACAGTTGACAAAGTCGTTCGAGGTAAAGAGCGGTGTCAGGCAAGGTTGCTTACTCTCACCCTTCCTCTTTCTCCTGGTGATCGACTGGATCATGAAGACGTGAACATCTGAAGGGAAGCACGGGATACAATGGACATCTAGGATGCAGTTGGACGATCTGGACTTCGCAGATGATCTGACACTTCTATCCCAAACGCAACAACAAATGCAGGAGAAGACGACCAGTGTAGCAGCAGTCTCAGCAGCAATAGGTTTCAATATACACAAAGTGAAGAGCAAGGTTCTTCGATACAACAAAGCATGCACCAATCCAACCACAATTGATGGAGAAGATTTCGAAGATGTAAAAACCTTTACATATCTGGGCAGCATCATTGATGAACATGGTGGATCTTATGCAGATGTGAAGGCGTGTATCGGTAAAGCAAGAGTAGCATATTTACAACTGAGGAACATCTGGAACTCAAAGCAACTGTCGACCAACACCAGCGGAGGAAGAAATCAGGAAAAAGCGCTGGAAGTGAATAGGACACACATTGAGGAAAGCACCCAACTGCATCACAAGGCAAGCCCTCACATGAAATCCTCAAGTCCAAAGGAGGAGAGAAAGACCAAAGACACATTACGCCGGGAAATGGAAATAGACATGAGAAAAATGAACAAGAATTGGATGGAACTAGAAAAGAAGGCCCAGGACAAAGTGGGTTGGAGAATGCTGGTCGGCGGCCTATGCTCCATTGGGAGTAACAGGCGTAAGTAAGTAAGTAAGTAATTACAAGCCATGTCAAGGTTAAAAAGTAGTTGAAGGATCCCAAAGTAGACAGGCTGCTGAATAAAGCCAGTTATGTTATTAGTCAAAGTCTTAGTTTATATGTCGTTTTCTTGGTTAGAAGGATTGATACATACTTATAGTCTAATTACAAATTATTCGGTTTGTTAATTAAATCTTTTTAGTCATTGCTCAGACCTCTCACGCTTATTGGTAGTTGGGAAAACGTGTAGGAAGTGTATTTATATGTAGCTGGATCAAACATCAGGGATCATAACATTTATCAGTATAACCTTTTTTTATGAGGGAGAAAAAAAAGAGTTTGATTTTTATTCCCCGTATTAATTAAGTCAGTTAATATATATGTAATATGCTAGAAGTATTTACTTAATTCTATGTTTTGCTGTTTAATTGTTTGAATTCCTAGCCTATTAGATGTTATTACTGAAACAGTACTCGAAGATTAAAACTGTGATATGTTTCAATGTGAAGAGTTTTATGTCATCATGGAAACATGAAGATTTTTCTTTCTTTTACTAACGAATATATTCACTGATATTGATTATTATCTAGTAAATGTTTACATTGAATTAATACAGAAAAAATATCACATTAAATTAATGGATATAACCTTAGGGATAACTTAGTTATGACAATGAGTTGTTTAAATAAGAAAAATCTTTTTGGAATCTGTGATCGAGATTAACAAAAATATTTATTGAAAATTCTGTGTGTACTTGAAATGGAATTAAATATTCAGCTTTAATAAAATGTTAACATGTTATGACCCTCAATCTTTTATATATCCACTTCATCAAATCACTAGATGATAGAGTTCATTAATGAGAAGTTTGCTTTACGCATATCAAACAAAAAACCTCTTTCATCATGAACACGACTAACTATGACAACGATAGTGGGATGGTAAATTCCAGTGGTCCTCCTTCTATCCTCAGTGAGCAATCAGAACACAAAAACAGCAAAGAAATTTGCCTTCTATCATTGTGTTGTCATTCTGAGTGAAAAGCTTACAGGGTTATGTACATCAGTTATATAAACACTGCTATACCGTGTACCACTTGAGCACTCGAACGATAGAACCTTTCAAGTCACAAGTTAGAAGACAGAAGACGAATGAGAAGGAATGTCATTCCAAACAGTGTCATATATGACACAAAACTCCCAAGTATTTATAGTTTATAGTAAAAACGAAATCATCATTACAGTCATCCAATCTGCATACAATTGTTTTTAGCATTTGTCAAATCGGGGAGCTATACGTGGAGATTCTGGAATGTTCTTCTAAAAAATGATTGGATGGAATATCTTCTACTCTTTCTGGGTTTCTTAGAGTTTCCTTGAGTTCACTCGTGAGCCATTCTCACAACCACAACTTACCATGAATAAAAAATTACGATATGTTCATAATTAAGTCATATGTGCTACGAAATTTAGTAATAAAAAATTCTTTGTTTGTTATGGGTTTGCAAAGATTTTGTACAACTTCAGGGTAATTTTCATCACTTAGAAAACTGTTGAAAACTAAGAAGCAATACGATATTATACAATTCTACATCGGAATCTTTCAACAACACACGCATAAGACATCATACTGTAATTGAACTTAGTCGGAGTAAAATCACCTCTGAAGTGTACTAACTTTTGTTGTAACAAACAAAAAAATAGTAGAGCTAATCCGTGTCGGGTAGAAACAGGTGTCTACCTCAGTACAATGGAAGATGGTCGCGCGATTTCGCGAATTGGTTGAGGTTAGACATTAACACCATTGGATGCCGGCCAGCTAAGTGGTTTAGTTGGTTAAGCTCCTGGCGCGAGACGGACAGGCCCTGGGTTCGGATCTCGCGGGGTGTGGGATCGTGGATGTGCACTGCTGAAGAGTCCCATACTATAACGAAATGCCTGTCCAGTATTTCCAGGTTTTCCATGGTGGTCTAGCTTCAATTGACTCATGATTTCAATCAAAAACTTAACAATTTCCACAGCCCCTAAACTGACAAATAGTATAATGAATACAACTACAATTGCATATTAGGTTAGTTGTTTAAATACAAAGAATGGACCTGAATGAGATTTACTTACAAGAATGAAACTTACAACTTGAATTTTCAGCTGGAATTTAATGTCTTAGTTGATGGAATACGATTGTATGTTGTTTAATTAATTGATAAATGTAAAATTAGTATATAAGTTTGTAGTGAATGTTGAATTCTTATGGTCTACATTATGAAGTGAGATTAGTTTGAGGTTGAAATATGTTTATGGAATATTGTGAATTAATTGAATTTAGAAATATAAACCATTGGACCCCATCTCAGGGATTAGAGCGGCTAAGGATTCGCTGCAATCCCTTAAGAGTCTGATTTTGACCTATGGTAGATTCTGGGATGCTTACATGTAGGAGTTCTACTTTGAGACAGAAATTATACTCAGTACTTCTTGATTCTTAGTAGTTGTTAAGCTAAAGTTGGTTCGTGATTCAAACCATAAATATATTGAATGTATTCCTT